CGCCCGCCCCGGTAAGTGCAAGCCGCTCCCGGAGCTGGGGCTCTCAAGTTCAAAACAACCGCCCCCCCCCCTTGAAAAAAAAAAAAAACACCAAAAAGGAGAAATGCTGCAAACGGGGCAGCCCCGGAGCCCGTTGCAGCAGCGCCGGGCGGCTGGGAAGCGAGCTGAACTGTATACAATGTATCCGAGCGGGCAGGATACAATGTATCCAGGCGGGCAGGGAGCCCCGCATCCTCCGCCCGGCCGAGATGCTGGGCTGCGCCTTTCGCGGACAGCGCTCAGGTGCGGCTCCCCGCCCAGACCCTGCTGCAAACGGGGCAGCCCCGGAGCCCGTTGCAGCAGCGCCGGGCGGCTGGGAAGCGAGCTGAACTGTATACAATGTATCCGAGCGGGCAGGATACAATGTATCCAGGCGGGCAGGGAGCCCCGCATCCTCCGCCCGGCCGAGATGCTGGGCTGCGCCTTTCGCGGACAGCGCTCAGGTGCGGCTCCCCGCCCAGACCCGCCCTCCAGCTTCACCCCGGGCAGGTAGGCAGTCACAAACCCTTGGGTGAACTTAATGGAGGCTGAAGGGACCGGAGTACAAAATGGAGGCAGGGAAAGGTTTGGGGGACAAGAAGAGCAGAGCAAAGATGGGGGGGAGGATAACAAACTCACCGTTCAGGGGTTTGGGTGGGTGGTTTTGGTGGGTTATACTTGGTGCAAGGAAGCAGAGGCTTCTGCTGTGTATGTGAAGGAGATGCCCCAAGTCCTGGGGTCCAAAGGTCAGTGGTGTTCCTAGGGGAAGAGGGGTTTTTTTTGGAGGAGAGTCGAAAGTGAACCTTCATATATTGAAATGAAGAGCAAATGGAGCCTTGAGCCTAGTGCAGACGGGTGCCTGCGGGGACTGGGTGCAAAGGCCCCAAGGTTGGGCATCCAGGACCCTCCCACGAGGGGCAGCAAGAGGATGGAAGCCAGCAGCTGTAGAGAAATCCTTGCACTTGCGTCCCTGAGCCCGGCTCCAGGGAGGTCAGCAGTGTAGAGTAACCGGATTAGCAGTGGGTGAGTTGTAACTCCAGCTGCTTGATTCCCCCGGGGAGGAGGAATCGGGCATAGGTGGTAAAGCTGTGTGCAGGGTGAAAGCTTCGGCACTACACGCCGCCAGGAATCACTGGAGGGCAACGAGGGAGAACGTGTGCGCGTGGCTGCATCCGTGTTAACCCGGGGGACTGGGTGGGGAGGTGGAGGAGCTGAAAGTTGCTCCAAAGAGGCCGTTGGGATGAGCCCGGCCGCTCCAAAGAAGCGCTTTGCCTCTCTTCTGTAATCTGAACAGAAACGGTGAATGCTCAAGAAAACATTTCGTGGCTTGAAGCAGATCAATAGAGATCTGGGGGGTGGCAGGCGTAAGTGATTCTCCAGCCTTGCAGGTCTGACCCGCAGTCTGGGGCTCAGCAGTTGCCCTTCTGGAAGTGTGGGGTGGAAAAGTCTTGCATCTTCCCTCTGCATCTGGTTTTCTCTCTGCTAAATACGATGGCCACGGCCTGGCTCTGAAGTTCGTGACCTTTCACGAGCCTCGGGGTTCTGCTGCAGGTTGTTCAAGAATTGCATCCCTCCTGCATTTCACTCGGATGCGTTTCGTTGCTGGTTTTGCTGATCAGAACAGCTTATCCCGATGCCGAGTGGTCTGTTTCTGGTTCTTGATTCAAACGGCGTACAAACAAACGAGCCGTATCCCGTCATAAAGAAAAAGAGAAACTTCTGCCTGTGTGCTCTCACCGCAGCAGGGAAAAAGACTCTTCTTGCTTCTATTTACTGATGTTAAAGTTATTAGGCCGCATATTCGTGTAAGCAAAATTAACTTAAAAAGATGCCTTGCTTTTTTCCTCCTTCCAGCCCTCCATTCTAGATTCAAAATGACTGTCAAAGCTGTAAAGATGTCGTGCACCGCTTCAAACGTTTATACTAAAGTGCCTGACGGAGGATGGGGTTGGACTGTTGCTTTTGCTTTCTTCTTCGTGGAAGCACTTACGTATGGCATCTTAAAATCATTTGGAGTCTTCTTTAATGACCTGATGGAAAGTTTTGATGAAACCAACAGCAGAATATCCTGGATAATCTCCATATGCGTATTTGTGCAGACCTTTACAGGTAAGCCCACCAGTCCGAGCTGAGCTCCTAAAGACGCAGGGTTTCCGTTCTTGTCCTTGATGCACCCTTATAGCTATTGAGGGTTTCCACGGGGTACACATATATTCCTCCTCTCTGGTTCCCCAACTCCAGCCCCCATCTGAAAACCTTTGAAGATTGACAAACTGCTTACCCATGCAAGAGCAAGGAGATGACCAGTAAAATCACTAACCGTGCCCACCGTTTCCCTCGCGGAGCCTTTGCAATGTCCAGATCTCCGCGCTGCATCCTCGTTCTGAACGGCCAGTGGGGAGCTCTCGGTCTCGGACTCGCTCTGCGAGTGTGGGCCGGTCCTCTTAACTTCCCACATCGTTAGCATGAGATGGGACTTGTTGCCTTCCTTTAAAAAGTGATGGGGATATAAGAATGGGAAGTACTGAGGGGAACCAACCCTGGCCCTGCTCAACTTGGGGAGGATTTTGCCAAGATTTGTAGTCCTGGTCTAATACCGTATGCTCTCTCTTTCCCCCCACTCCGCCAATGCAGCTCCCTTGTCAACAATACTAAGCAATCGCTTTGGTCACCGTCTGGTGGTGATGGCTGGAGGGATACTGGTCAGTGCCGGAATGATCACCGCCTCCTTTGCACACTCGGTTGTTGAAATGTATATCACCATTGGCGTAATCTCTGGTAAGTTAGCTCCACTGGCCAAAGCTTCCAGCAAATGCAATTTTAATAGAAGTTGTTTTTCCTTATCCTAAACCAACCTTAAAAAAGAGAGAGGCCCCTTCCCTTTTACTCCATGTATAGCTTCCTTGCCATTGTCCCCCCACCCTCCTCTTCAAGCTTGCTGCCTGGCATTGGGAAGTCTCCTACCCCTTGCTGACCAAACCGTTTTCTTCTCGCTCCTCCCTAAAATCCACTTCTTTCACAGTCTTCTTAAGTAGGTTGGTGCTTCAAAACTGATTTCTTCTCATCCCCCCCCACTTCTGCCTGAGTCCTGTGTTTAATTGCATACCATCGATGCCTTGGGTATTTTAGTTTTTGGCTTGTTTTTCCTTGAGGGGGAGGGGGATGGCGATTCTGTATTCTAAAATCTTGTGGGAAACGGACTGCTTCATCTGCGTCCCTCAAACGTGCACGCACTCCTCATTTTACCCAACTTGCATATCCGGGGGAAGGATGTACACTAGGGGCAGGCAATTATTCCGGGCAGAGGACTGCATGGCTAGCCCCGTGCCTTGACCAGTGCCATGCCCCCAGTTGCCATCTTGTGACTGGAAGTCCCTCCCCTTGTCCCTGAAAGTACTCTTTTCAGCAAGGGGTTTTGCCATCTCTGAACCAGACAAATACCAAATTATATTCTAAAATGCAAACATCTAAAACATTCATTCATTTGATTTCAGTAAATTATTTTTGTCCTGGTTTAATGTGTTTGTGTAATGTGTATAGACGTGATTGTATATAATAGCTTAACATGAAGCCTTACTCTTGTATATGGCAGGAGGGTACGGGGGTGGATAGGTATGGGTGAGCATGGGGTTTGCGAGGGAGGGTGGCAGGGGTGTGGGCCTGGGGGTCTGCATGCATGGCAACGCAAGGAGGGGTATGGGTGTATGTGTATGGTGGGGTATGCATGTGGGACTTGCCCTACAAACGAATACACACACTGTACTGGCGTGGCCCCATGCTCCCTGGTCCAGCAATGCAGCCGGGAGCCACATAGTGCTGGGGCAGTGCGAGGCAAGGACATGACTGGGGGTGCAGCCTCCTGCTGAGGCTCCCCCTGGGTCCTACTGCCTCTGGCTCCTGTCATCTTTGACAGGCAGCCAGGAGCAGATAAATATTAACTTTCTAAACTTTTTAGGGGCCCCACAGGCTAGATAAAATGGCCTGGTGGGCTAGATCTGACCCACAGGCAATGTTTTGCCCACCCCTGGTGTACACACTTATCTACATTTTGTGAGTATTGCAATCCCCTCAACCCCTTGCCTTCCTGTGAAGAGTCCACGCTCTCTTAAAACAATCTCTGTCCAAAAGGAAGGATAACCTTGTGGTTAAGCCACTGGAGAGATGTGGGCTTCCCCCTCCCCACATCTCCGTCATGCTTCCTTGGTGACCAAAGAGAGGTCATTTAAGAGACGATCTTGGAAGCTTCCAAACACTCCTACGGACATGCTGACCACTCATGAGTCAGTCACTTACATGGGAGATGAAGTCACTCGGCCTTCAGGGCCAAGTCCTCTGATCCCTCCACAGCTCAACTTCCCACTTGCTCAGTGGGAATAACAATGATTGCCAAACCAGCACAGGCATTCAAAGGGTAAACAGGCAGTAAGTTTGCCTTCATACTGGGTGGGGGACACGGGACGGGACGGGACGTCAACTGATTGTCTGGCTTGAAGTGTGAAGTATTTGCGTATTCTCAACTCCATAGGGTTAAGCAGCAGCAGGTAATGGGTTGTCTTTCTGGACAAAAAATTAACATTCTGGTTTCCTCCATGATTCTTTTCTAGGCTGAATGGCTGAGTTGGCAGAACTGATACTGTAATCTCACCACCAAGAACACTGGCTTTAACGTGTTATAACGTCGGTGTCCCTTTCCTTCTTAGTTGTTGTCATGGCAATTTTTGGCATTTGTTCACAGGCTTGGGATACTGCCTCTCCTTTCTCCCGACTGTCACCATTTTGTCACAGTATTTTGAAAAAAGACGTTCACTGGTCACTGCAGTGGCATCTACAGGAGAATGTTTTGCTGTCTTCTCTTTTGCACCAGGTACGCTGACTCGCACATTTTTAAACGTACATGTTCTATGGCCTTCTTCCTTTCAGCCAATTCAGGTGACGCTTGCTGTGTAGTGTAGCAGGTAGTACCCCGGTACTCTGGGTCTTTGAGGCAAAATAGATGGTCAAGGCTTACTTTTTTGGAGGAATGCCTTAAGCAGGTAAACTGTCCATGTTCTGCCTAGCAGTCCATTCATATTCTTACTTCTTTGGAGGACAAGACAGTGGTTTGACTTCCTGCAGAAGTAAAATGGTCACTGAAATGAGTGCTCTTCAACCGGAGCAGAGTGGGGCTAGTAGAAGTTTAATGACAACCTAGTCTACTTCATCTCGTGCACAGATCTCCCTTTCATCAGGGGTCAGCCACCTCCATGGCAACATCCCAAAACACACCAACAAACACAGGCCTAGCCTTCCAGTGCCTCCCCCTGCCCTCGGAGCAGGGTTCCTCTGGAAACTTCTCCTAATGGTATCAGTCTGTAAGAAGACATCTGTTCCTCTGCTACTGAAATGAGTCATTCGGTCTCATGGAAGAGCG